TCGTTCACATTCCACCGCCATTCCACCTGTCATGCTAAAAACTAATGGCGTGAATGTAGCTTGCTCTACTTCTAACACGCAGCTTGCGTACTGACGCTTCTTCTCTCTTTCATGCTCCCTGAATATCTGGTCTGGATCCATATCTCTAGAGGTGTCTGCATTTGGGTGGACACATTTGGGTGTCTGCATTTGGGTGGCACACTCTCACATCAAGAAAAACCGACCTCTGCCTCTCCCAGAATTCCCTAGCAACTATATCTTGTCGTGCATTAGGGCAGTGTTGGCTTCCAATTCAACTCTTCTCTTGGGATGTCTTGCAAAACTGGTTCGATTTCAATATCATTGCACACCATGCGAAGCAGTTCCGCCTCCAGATCCCTCATTTCATTATGGCGTTGTATGATAAATCCGCCCCGTTTGCATATCATAGCATGATCTACGGTGAAGATGTCCCCGCAAATACAGAGAGAGGGCGTGTCAGGAACTTTTCAGTCGTTGACTGAGTTCACAGCGTCTCGAAACTCACTTTTGTTTTAATTGGCAAAACAGTAAGCGAACTAGAAGAAACCTTCTGAGTGGCAAGGTAAACAGCTCTCAAAGTTTTTTAAGAAATCGAGCTCTTCACCTCATCAAGTTTTTGCTTCAGATACTTATATTTCATTTGGCGCATCTCCCGTTACACAGGGCGTATTTCATTTTCGTCGGTTGGCTCAGGTGCCTGTGATTCTATTTGTTGGGCTAACGGACTAGTAATATTGGCCGATGCTAACTACTCTACGGCTGCTACTTGACTCGGATTTAGTGGGCCCATGCCTCCCATTTTCGCTGGCAGCGCTAGCAGCTCGCGTTCAGCCTGTATACATTTGTGATCTATAATCATTTCGGCATCAGCAATTGCACGCTCCAGAGGTCCGAGTAGATCCTCTATGTCAGGCAGAGTTCTCATAAAGTACGTCCAGCGGAGCTTTAATCCAAAAGCAAACGCTGGGTAGCAAGCCAGCTGGGGCTGCGACAGAGCAAACTCAGCCAATTTTGTCACTTGCTCTACCCATTCCTCGACTTTATCGTTGACGCAATGCTCAAGATAGGACCTGGAGCCCATAACAATGATTATAATGATAATAATGATGATAATAATAATAATAACAATAATAGGATACTCTATATACAAGGCTAAAAGATTAGGAAAAAAATTATTAAAATGTTTAAACCAAACGTTGATGGCTGTTTTCCATCATCAGGGTTGAAAATAATGACCGTCTGTACATACATATATATCTTATGTGATTCCCGATGGGAAAAGTTTGAAGACATTAGAAATAACTTGTTTGTTCAAACTGGGGCGGAATTGTTGAATCATTAGCCCCTCGACGATCCTACGCTTGTGAAATGTTTCTGCTGTGGAGAGAACACGCTAAGTGGAAGAATGTGATGGATTTTCCCGCAAGTGTTTTGCAGGTTCAGAGGTTTGAGCAGGATTTGAATGCTCAATCGACCACTTCCTCGATACTGCCTTTAGTTAGAACAACAAGTTTAATTGCAGCGTCTTTAAGAAACCGGGAAAACTACCAACATATTGGAAATCTGAGGTCCCTACCAAATGGAAAAGGAATTGCATCACTGGGGTACTCCATAGAGCCAAACGCATCTCTACTGATCTTGACAGGAACATAGAAACTCTTAAAACATCTTTTGTCCCTGCAGGTTATCCCAGGCGTTTTGTTTCGCATACAATCAACGAATTTCTAAACGACTCAATGCAAGATGACATCATTCCGAATTTTCTCTTCGAAGACCGAAAGAAAGTTTTTATCAAGCTTCCTTTTTGCGGTACAGACGGTCATTATCTTCAACCCTAATGATGGCAAACAGCCGGAAACGTTTGGTTTAAACATTTTAATAATTTTTTACCTAATCTTTTAGCGTTGTATATAGAATATCCTTTATTAAGTGAACATCGTGGACAATAACAATAATCTTTATTTTTATTATAATAACTATAACAATAATGATGATAATAAAAAGACATTCGGTAAAAAAGGTTAATGCAAACAGCAGTTCACTATAATTTGATATCATTTTAATATTTGATCCTATTGCAAATTACTAATGATTCATATGACTTTGTAAAGATCAATGCAGACCAGACCCAATTTAAAAAAACTGCCAAACTGTACTCAGATTTGCGATGAAATTGTTTATTTTCATGTGTTTAGGACAAGTTTAAGGTTTCACCAGTTGTTCTTGTGACATCCGATCACCAAAGAAGTGGAAAGGAACACGACGCTGCGTTGATCTGGACAGAAGATGTAACCAAGGACTCCTTCAAGGCTTGTTTGCGAGAGTTGCAAAACTTTGATGACAAGCATCAAGACATTTATGTGGTATGTGATATGCTTTCTCTTTGTTTTAATATCAATGAAGCTCTGAGATTGAGGATATTTTCTTCAGTCTCATTAGGGTATCGGCTGAATTCAGTATTATACTTTGACATCTGCATTTGTGCTCAAATTAGATTATAATTCTCATAGTTGCATTCCATTACAATTTTATTCATTCAATTTTAAGATCTTTTACTGTGTGAAATCATTTTAATTCATTGAATTTGCGTTATGGTACTCACTAGAAGTAAGTATTGTTTTTTGCACTGGTTCTTTACAGACCTGGTTTGCATTTGCTAAGTGCTAGTTGCACAAGCCACTCTTCACTGAGCATGGCTCTGTAAACTTTCCAAATACGAATCCACCAACAGATGAAGACAACAACGCTTACTGCGAGGTAAGTGTACAGCGTAAGTCTGAGTCGAGCCCTGCGATTATAGAAAATTAGAGTAATTAACGATGATGCTCAGGAAAACAGTTATTCAAGAATTTCCTTCAGTATCTGTTTTTCATCTTACTGACAGCTTGTACACTTTACACGAAGTTACAATGCGACGCCATCTGTCCAAATATCAGCCAATCACAGCACAACAGCGAGTGGAAACTTGGCACCAGCTCATAATGGCATTTCTACTTGGATTGAGGTAAAAAGCATTTTACGGTAGACTTTAAAAGAATCGGCTTGAAAACAGATGCTTGATTATCAAAAATCATCCAAAAGAAACTATCAGCTTTTACCCTTTTTATTTTTTCCCGCTTTCAATATCCTTGCGAAAAATGTTGTAGAGGACAATAACTCGACAGAGAGGGAAATGTAGAATTCATTTAAATAATAAACTTCGAATTTTTTTGCAGAATATGAATGTGTCTGGATT